TTGAAGATAATTTATTATCCTCCTCTGATTTGACTGGTGGTAATAATATCTTCCATATCTCTGGTATTTGCGTTGAGTCATTTCTGTTGCATGTGTAGACTCGATGAACCAGGCAGGATTCAGTAATCAATCTCTCTCTCCACCTTCCTATATTACTTTTTGAATTTTAACTCTGTCCCACTCTATTGTGTTGTTTTGAGTTAATGCGGACAGTACGATTGCTATATATATATATATATATATATATATATATATATATATCAATAAGGAGTAATGATATCTGTTTCCAGAATATCTTCTGGTGCAATCATGACTTGGTTATACGCTTTAACCAAGTCGATTTAAGAGAATATAATTGCGCCAGATAATGTTGCCGTCAAGTTGAGTATGTGAGGCAATGAATGGCAATCGGAGGTTGTTTTGGCGATCGCTCGCCGGTAGTCACTGCTGGGTCACCAATCGTTGCTATCTTTTTTCAGTACCATTAGGAGTGGGGATGCCTATGGCAGAATGATATTAAGGATGGGCATACGGTCGAATTCATTTCCAGCCAGTCATAATTTGTCAGAATCAAGTCGTCTAGCATTAGATATCACGAATTTTCCTGAGGTTGTCATCTGATGGATAACACTGCTGATTATGCACGGTAGATTGTTAGACGAGCAGTTAAGTTCCAGGTACTTGTCAACAGTCGGCTGAATAGTTGGATCAAAGATGGCCTTATTCTTGACCGGTAACAAGCTGTGACTTACGTAGGTGATGCCTTTAATAAACGGCACCATCTATCAATCGTCTTTGGCTGACATCAACTAGTAGATATAGATGATCAAGTAGGTCTGTGCCAGTGATGGGACGTCAGCGAGAGGGAAAATCCAGTGAGCAGGTTTGCGTACATCTACGTTTAGATAGACGTATTTCCTACCAAAGATTGCAATTGGTTTCCCATTCGCAGTCTGTAAGTTGAAGGTAGGTCCCTTCAGTCGACCTGCCCCTGTAGCAGGAAGAAAGCTGACTTTGGCGCCTGTGTTGACCAAGCACGGGCTCTGTATAGTACGCAGCTACTGCCACCGGCGACGGTCGTCACGAACGCGTACCGGCAGGATAGTTTCCCAAAGTCTTCGAGTCATTGCTAAAACTCAGAGATTTTCGGCAACATTTCGCTTCCTGGCCAAAGGTATTTTAATACCAACACCAGCCAGTGTTTTAAATGAACATGGTTTGAATTTAGATCGACCACGTGAGTTTAGCCGTTGGTAGGAGTTCAGAAGATAGGAGGAATTACAGGGTATATTTGACCTGAGTAACTGTTGGACGGAGTTGCATAACTCTATCACTACACTGTCCCTACTAGAAATCTGTCCGGCGACCGAGCATATTTCAGTGAATGGCCGTTTTGTTACTTCTAGAATTTTATCTGCAAAAACAGCTAAGTCTTTTAGAATAACACCCTGAAGTGTCATCGGCAGAGCCTGTACTTACTGTGGCTGTTTGGATATGAACAGTTCTCTGAAAATCCTACATCGAACTGACGTTGGCCAATAACCTCTCTCATTCTTATTAGGATTCTCACAGTGGGCTGATCTACTAACTTCACGTTGCGAAATAATTCACCAGGACGTTGTCGATCCGTGAGAACGTTTCTCCCTAGGAGGGTTGCTTACCTCTGGGCTCGACATATCCACAGTTACGCATTTCCTGAATTCCCGCTGCAGGGCGTGAACAACTGCAAGGAAATGTGAGCGCTGGTCAGTGATCCCATGTTCAATTAAATCAGACATGGCTATCTGAAACCATGATTCTACATTATCTGGACGAAATTGCATGAGCTGAACAGTGTTGGTAGTTGGTTGGACATGGATGACCTTAGGTATATGGTCACTCATGGAGAAATATTTACTTAAAAAATTAGTACAAGTACACAGTGGAACGAACCCCCCGAATATATTTGCGTGTTTACCAGACGTGACGTTCATGATAGTGCTCACCAGTTTATAGGCTGAGGTTGTTAACATGAATAGGCAGTACGAAGCATACTAACGCATGATCCTATACCCACAAATTCTTCAGTATTCGTTCCGCGTAGACTAAAGGCGAAGCAAAACAACAGAATTGATCCTTCAAATCACAGGGTACATTTCTGGAGTGCAGGATGATTGCCCAGCTAGATAGGGCACAGTGGTGGTGGCACAGTGGTTAGGACTCTCGCCAATCATGCACATGGTCCGGGGTTCGATCCCCTGCCGACGCACACCCGATATCTATGGTCGGCCTGCAAAATTTGGGCTACCGATATCCATGCTGAAAATTCCATACTTGTACTGAAAATACGGTGTGGCATCAAGCTGTAATCAAAATAAAAATAAATAAATAGGGATTGTCTACGAACTAACAAACATAGCGTGCCGAATGGTGTGGATGCTTGACCATAAGCCTTCAGCCAGACAAATCGGCTTAAACAGTGAGGGGCAGCATCCAACGCTCAGTGATTACTGCTGTGGCTAATAATTCTGAAGAATTATCTATTGCTAGATTCCGTATTTTTAGACCATCATAGGTTTGTACGAGGAAGAAGGGCAGCACCAGAAAAGCACTCAGCTGGTCATTTCTCCATATTTAAGCTCTTTGTGAACGTTGTCAATGCGTGGGCTCTGTAAAACAATTTTTATTACTGTTAAGTACATTTATTTTGAACTGAACTTATTGCTTATGTCAAGATATAGTTGCATTGAGGGAAGAATGTGGTGAGTGGGCGACACGGTGTATGCGAATGTAGCCTGGGTTTCTCTGATATCAACTAGTTGATAGATAAGTTGGGACGCCATGAGAAAACTTTAGGACGCAGGTCAGCCGCGCTACAGAAAGCTTTTAGATGTCTTGCAAACTCTTCACCTCTTCCCACTGTAAGTCAAATGTTTCTCGCCTGACGTTTTTACAGTGCTTCTGTTGCTTTTGTCAAAATTCAGGCTGTTTACCAAAAAACAACATCTTAAGTCTATTAAAACTAATTTCGGCAGAGACCAATTGAGTTAAAGTTCGTCTCTAATCTTTTGCAGCTAACAAAAAATGAAACATAAACTAAAGCCTGCGGAAAGTCACTCCATTTCCGAAGTTTGCGCATGCTGTACCTCCGTTTTCAAACTGTCTCTTGCGGAAAATCCAAAAAGACCAGAGAATCCTCTGCAATAATAAGAGCTATATATTGAGAAACCAGATATATAATAGCATGTGATAGACCTTTCAGAAGTTTTCTTCTTGATATCAAGAGTACTGGAAAGTATTACTGACGATCACACTAGGGAGCACCTCGGTGGGACTAATACACCCCATGAAGCCCAGCATGGTTTCAGGTAAGGCAGATCCTGTGTAACAAAGCTACCACCAGCTTGGGATGATTTGACATCATGGTGGGAAATGAATGTTCCAGTTCATGTGGTCTTCCTAGACTTTGAGAAGGCATTTGACACATGACCTTCTCCTACACAAAATAAGTCAAGCAGTTATAGGAGAACCGCTTCTGTCATGGTTTAAGGACTACCTAGCTGAAAGGAAATTTCGCACTAAGGTCAATCGACCATCTTGGCGCGGCTCGTCATCAAGGGAGTCACAGGGTTCTATCCTAGGACCACTGATGTTTTCCATTTTTATCAGTAACCTGCCGTGCTGACTAAGCTGCCTAACCCTTCTGTAGGCTGGAAACGTGCGTCGGTGGCACAGTGGTTAGGACTCTCGCCGACCATGCACATGGTCCGGGGTTCGAACCCCTGCCGGCGCACACCCGATATCTATGGTCGGCCTGTAAAATTTGGGCAACCGATATCCATGCTGAAAGTTCCACACTTGTACTGAAAATACGGTGTGGAAATCAAGCTGTAAATCAAAAAAAAAATTACGCACATGTAGGCTGCAGAATGCAAGTTGCGGCTCGTTCAACGAAAGCTTGTCCTGCACAACGTCGGAGCGTTACTTAGGTGTAGTTCTAACAGAAAAAATGAACACATGGGTGAAATACACGGGGGATGTAGCTAGGACGTATGCGGTCATACATATTACACATAGACAGTTAGATGCACTAAATCCTGAGCCCTTTCTAGGGTTGAAGTGCATACTATCATTGCACACCCACCTCTTAGAGGAGAGGCGAACTTTTTGGAAAGAGTCCAGAGACGGGCGACAAAAGGAGTGGTTGGTCTCCCAAATAAACCGAGTGATGAAAGTCTGAAGAAATTAGGCCTATTCACACTTAGCTACCGTTGGCTAAGGGGGATTTGATTGCTGCCTACAAGATAAAAAATTACCAGAATCACCCAAACGAAGGTGTTTTGCCATTGGGTAGATGTGGAAATCCCAGAAGGATAGCTCCCACTACTTTTCACTGTGGGCTTGCCGTCCATGGAACTTATCAACGGTAAATGTAAATACGGTACTGTCTGTGGACATCTTTAAGCGAAGGCTGGATAATCATGCAGCGGCACAAGGACTGCGTCCAAATAACCTGTCCCCTTAAAATCCCACACATCATTCACGGGTAGATAACTAAATTCGTCGCTTTACTTCTTTACATTCTCTTCCGCCTTACTCTCCTGGCTACTCCAACTACTACACTTACACTTATTTTTAATGATATTACATGTATATATATATATATCAACTTCAAATATAATTGGCTGTCTTTTTAGGTTCTCTCTATTTCTTTTTCTGTCTTTTAACCTGAATAACCTGCACTAATTATATCTGTTATTGTTATCTAACTGATGAAAGGATTAACTACATTCAAAAAGTCTTAACAAAGTGCATACAACAAACAAGATATAATTAGTCCCAGAACTACTCTTTTGGAGACAACCATAGCTACGGCAGTCGAGTGGCGCGACGAACTACTCAGAAGTTTACCAAAGACAGGGAACCATTAACTCACAATCAAGAAGCGAGCATAAAGAAATCGAATCGGCTCACGCTAGCTCATAGAAATAATATTGGATATTGGATATGATGCGCGCTCTTAATGAAAGGGTAGTTACTGGGTATGGCATCAGCTGTTAGGAATGGTAACATTGTAGGAAGGCCTAGTATCGGTGGTGGCGAGACGATAGCTGAAGGGGAAAAAAAATTACAGGATGAACTGTCTCAGGTGATTCTTCTCTGATATTTGTAGTGTGTATTGAAAACGGTATTAAATGTAGTTGGCGGACTATTTTGCGTCACGGCGAAGTTCAACAAAAGCGTCCCATGAGTGCGAACTCTCCGGTGATCTTGAACGCATGCTAGTCGTTGGCTGGCGGCACCTGTCATTATCATTGATGAAATATCAACGCTATTGTAGAACTTTGACAAATATCACAGGGAAGACCAGTGTAGAATTATAAAGAAGGGAAATTTTATCGGCTAAGTTAGTATGATAGCCAAAGTCAAGTTCTTTCAAAAGTTGACTTTAGAGAACAGATCAGGTACCGAGAATGCTGTGAAATATCATTCCGAATCAAATCACGCTTGCTTTTTTGGACTTGGAGGGGGTAGATACAGTATTATATTTATTTAATAGATACTTTTCTCTAAATCTTCACTGTTAGGTAGGGCTGACTATTAAGATTTAGTGTCTAGGGTTAGTTAGGATTATGACTAGAGTTAAGAGTAGGTTGGAGAATGGTATCAGAAATATCAATGGCTCTCAAAGTACCATGACCTACAGTCACCTGGATGAATGAATATATCGTACATGTCACGATTTCACTATAGATAATCTGTGTGCTGGCTGGAAGACATTCTTACAACAACTAAGCTACAAATATATAGTGTAATGTCATGTTTGCAGTATTTTTTTAGAGTATTTTTCAACGACTATGTGACTTCTTGTGTCTGAATTCTGATTGGTTGTTTAAGGTCACTCCGGTTTCGGCTATGATACTTTACCTTTGCTAGTTTCTCAAAATAACGTTAACCCACTGACGCCTCCTCCCCGTTATTATACCTGAGATTATTCCCACTCAGAAGTGAATGTATGCATTCACTCATTTTAAACAGAGGGAAGAGTGAGGGTTTTGCATTCAGATGATTTAGAAGTATTTCATAAAGGATCCTGGAGGAACTAATTAATTGCATTATTTGCATTATACTACAGATGAACTTCATTCACAATTGAAGGAGTTAATTTAACGGTCCCTCTGAATTCTGAGTTATAAGTAAATCTACAGCATGACTGGTTCGAAGTATAGGTTTTGTACAGTGGTTCGGTGGGAATACTAACCAGAAATTCTACTGCCTACCACATTGCAACACACTTGAACTTCCAAAATTTTCTAGATAACAAAATAAACTTTAAGGTGAATTCATATTAAGAAGTACATAATACATGAACCGATTTGCTGCAGTCAGCAGCGTGTACTTAATCATGCATCCGCAGTCATCATATTTTAAGGATAAATATATTTATATATTTGTCAGCATTTTCAGAATCTGAGTGGTAACAATTAGTGAATACATCTGCACCATGTAAGCATCAGTCCCCATGATAGGATCCCGCATAAAATAGTATATCATCATTTCTCGCGCATATTGTGGTTCAGTATGTGATCAGTCATTTGCGTGGCTCAATGAGTCTGAAGCAGGCGCAGACGTAAGGAAGTAACTAAGGTTCTCATTCAGTTTAGTGCAGTTATAACACCCTGACAATTCATTTTTAACATCCCGAAGACCTAAACGTGGCAATGGCATTGAACTCCCGACTTAGCTCAAAACAGTAATCATTGACTACTGATTGGCGGCATGCTTTTTGTTTGACCACCCCACCTGGTTCTGTTCCAGCTAACATTGCTTAGCATGCTTTTCTTAGACACGTCAGTCTTATCTTAGGACTTAATTTTCTTAGTTAAAACATAGTCTAACCTTGTTACTACGTTGCTTCACCACCGTCAGGCAGTATACACGACCTCTGATGTTTTATCGGATGTCATTCCTGTGCCAAAAGTGACTCAAGCAGACAAACGCTAGACAAGCATTTTGTTTCAGTGCGTAGTCTCACCAGTAATCAGTCTACTACTAAGTGAAGTAGTCAACACTTATCTAAAAATCTTACAAGCATTCCTCAAGGACAAATTATAACTCAGACAACACTAGGTTCGAAGAGAGTTTGAGGTAAACAGACTACCCGTTACCGTCACAATTCTCAAAGTGTCCACTCCATCGCGTACATTTTGTTCCATATCAAATTACACTTGTTTCCCCCACTTATATGGGCAGTCATCACAAATGTGGCACCCAATGTGTCACACCTACTGGAAAAAGATTAAGATAGATTTCACAGCGTTCCCTTAAAAAAGCATGAATCTGAAATGCATAAGCTGGTTTGAAACTATAAATTTACACATTCTGTAGTTCAACCCCTGCCAAAGGATATGTCGACACTACTGCGAATCAAGAAATTCTTCTTAATCACCAAGACACTGCATTGAGTCTATCTTCTGAGAATGGATTACATAATTAGTTCAGTGACTTTAACCAAGTGGATGGGATGAGCCTTATTGTTATTTAGGGAATAATAATGCCTATTTCAGACTTCCGGACTTGGCGAAGAGTCTTTTAAACACTCAATAAAGTTAACTGATGATCACTGGTCATGTGATGAGCTTGTCTCACATTTGTGCAAAAAAACAATCTGTTTCTAGCCAGCCATCTCCTCTGGTGTCTGACACTTAACCATTAACTTACCTAACAATCAGCTACAATTGACTTAGGTGTACATACAGCTGCTTCTCGTTTGAGAGTACGTCTTATCTCTAACTAGGATTTAGTGAATATATATATCCTTAACTTAACAGCAAAATTACCTGGAGTCAGTGGATCAACTCGTCCTTAAATTGCGTCATTGTAATAAGTTGAAATTCCGTTTATCATTTGGGTATACATCAGTCTATCAATTCTGACAGAGCTTGCAAAGACTGTTACAAATTTGGAATGATAAAAACCATCGAAGCCTAACGATTTAATCCCAGAAATATCTTAAGAAATACAGTAAAGGATTGTTAACTTCACTACTGAATGGTTTCAGCATAGAACTTTGCACCGATGTGCAGCAGTTCGACTCGCCACACTCCATGTAGCACACAAAGCAAAAGAAGAAACTAAAAGGAAGTGCAAAATAGAGACAGTAAACAGAGATATAAGGCAAAAAGAAAAGTAAGGTCCAAGAACCAAATAGTTTTATTGGGTATTATGAGTCACAAGGTGTAGATGCATCTACGCTGAGAACGATTTGAGACATATCACCAATTATCTCCAGCCATTAGTGTTTGCCGTCCCGATGACCCCAATCAGAAAGTCTACACCTTCCTACGTGGCTGAAACTGACTGTTGTGGATTCCATTGACTGATGAAGCCATGTTTTGGCTTGACCACCACTACCACTAGATCTTTTCCAACCTGACCCATTCTGTGTCAGCTAACTTTGCCTGTCGGGGAAAAGGATGGCTAGGCATGCGTAACACATGTCCTAATCATCTCAATCAGTGTAACTGCACAATCTCGTCGATTGATTTCCCCTCCCTCCTTACCTAGCACTCGATGCCTAACCTCAATACTGCTCACTTTATCATACCCCATGACACAGAAGATAGAACACAGACACCGATGATCAGAGGCAGCTAACTAGACATTTTATGTCTTCCACTCTCAATGGCTATGTCTCACAGCCATAAAGGGGGACGGAGTGGACTACTGAACAGTACACACGTCGTTTGGTTGACAGCCCCCTAGATATCACGTCCACGCCAGAGACGGCGTAAACTGTCATATGCGAAACTAGCCTGCTGAGATTTCGTCAGCGATCAACCCCTTGGGATTGATGCAACTTCTCAAATAAGTGAAGTGATCAACACGCTCTCCCATTCCACTCCCTATTTCTAAGCTAGAAGTCCTGCAGCACCATCTTACATTTGGCGGGAGCGAAAGGCATGCTAAACATTCGCAAATTGCAGTTCAAGGTGTTCAAAAGACTCTGCATTATGTCGGCGTCTTCACCTAGAAGGACTATATCATCTGCACGCTGCTGCTGGATTCAACATAGAACTTGGCACCGAAGTGCAGCAGTTCGAGTTGCCACGTTCCAAATAGCACACAAAGGTAGACAAGAAAATGAGTGAAGAGAATCAATAGAATTTAGACAAGTATAAGAGTGAAACAGAATGAGTAATGGTAGAAAAGAATATGAAAGGTTAAAGAGACTGAATACGTCTGCACCATTGACAACGATTTTGAGTCATGTCACCTATTGTCTCCAGCTATTGATTCTTAGAGTCCCGAGGGCCCCAACCCGGAAGTCTGCATCTCCCTACCTGACTCAGTTTAGCTGTCAGGGATTTCATGGATTGATGCCATGTTTTTGTTTGGCCACCACTTACTCTTTTCCAACCAACCTGCACCTATATCAGCTAGTAATGCCCGTCGAGGGAGGTGATGGCTAGGCATGCGCAGCACGTGACCTAGCCATCTCAATCTATGTAATTTTATAGCCTCTTCGATTGATTTCCTCTCTTTGCCCAACACTACGCCTAACGTCAACATTACTTACCTTATTATACCACCTAACGTGAGAAAGAGATCGTAAACATCTGTGGTCAAAAACAGGCAATCTCTTCATGTCTTCCGCTGTCAATGGCCACGTCTCACCGCCATAGAGAAGGACGGAACGAACTGCTCAGCAGTATACACGTCCCTTGGTTGATAGCCGAATGTCACGCCTACGCCAGAGACGGTGTAAGTTAGCGAAAGCAGCCCGAGCTTTTTGGATCCGTGCTGAGATTTCGTCACCAATCAATCCGTTGGTGCTGATACAACTTCCCAAATAGGTGAAGCGGTCAACATGTTCTATCACTTCACTCCCTATCACTAAGCTAGGAGTTGACGCAGTCCAGCAGCATATTCTAAGTCAACGAGATTATTCCCTAGTAACAAGTCAATCCGTGAGTTTCTGAAGTGAATTAGGGTTAAGTCCATTAGTACATCTGTGATGAAATGGAATAGAAATGGGGATAGTGGGTATCCCTGATGGACACCACTAGTTGTCACCAGTTCAGATGACAACTTACCGTAAGCTCTCACCTGGCTGCCATGCAATACAGTTTGTGTAATAGCTACATACTTTACCATCAGCTTTACCCATATTTCGAACAGTAATTGATAATTTATTGATAAATAAAGATCTTACCAGTCACACAGTGAATTGGTATCAGCTGTTTGGTTTACTTATATTTGCAATTGCATTTTAATTTAATGGGTAGTTTTTCTACTGTTTAAATCTTAATTTTGCTAACAACGCCCACTGTCTGTTTAGACGTCGTCTTTAGTGCTATTTATATGAAGTAATAACTTCAGTAACTTTTAATGCATCTTTTCAAGATTGAATATTATGATCGTGTCCAGTTATTCTTTTCTTTAAGGTTAGTCTGTTGTTGGATATCCTACTTCCAGCTTTATTAACTGTTAGCTGTGTCTTATTCATCTGTATATCTTAGTTATTTATGTTAGTTTGAATATTGAGACAAAAGCTTGAGTAGAGGTAAGCAAACATCAGCATAACTATTCTGCCTAAGAATAATAATAATAATTTGCTTCATTCCAAAACAGTACTTGGGATACAGAATGGAATTCTCAGCATTTTTACTACAGTATTGCATTCAGTTAGTACATTATCAATAAATAGAATTCTACATAGATTAAGGAAATCTCAGTTCATTATGACAACAACATATTGGCATGTCGGTAGCAAAGGTAAAGCTGAACAGTGTTTGAAGGTGTTAGAAAAGTAGGAGCTGTCATATTTACTGGCGTAAGCGAGAGAAAGAAACAAAGCAACACATAACGGAAAAAAAGAGAGACAGAGAAAAAAAAGAAAGAAAATGTTGTACCTATAAATGATATGAGTTGGAAAGACGAGGTCCAGATGTTCTACTGATTACTGAATGAATTATAGGTGTCACGCCTAATGCTTTCTTTATAGCACAGAACACGAGCTAAGTAGGGTATGGTTGAGTTTTTGTACTTGTTGCTACGAGCATATAGTTTTCTATATGGGCTTCTGGTTTTGCCTGATGAGATGCAAGTGGAGAGTTGTGAGTGAAGAGGGTTGTGTGAGTTAGACAGAATGGATTTGGCCCATTTTTCACATGAGTCCATGTGCCTGTCAACCAGAATATTAACAAGCTGGTTAAGTGGCACGTTGCTTACTCTGCTGACAACCTTTAACATATAAGAAGAATCTCTTATAAGTAATTAAAAATGGTGCTTATTTCCCCCTATCGTGTGGCTCTCTAGACGATGTCTAAACTCAAGTTAAAATTTTTGGTAGCAAAAATGTAAGTTGAATGATCAACTGAACTACTTGAAATTCTATAAACTGGACTGCAAACTATTCATTACCATATTTATTTTCACTTTCTTTGTATACTAACTTGTCAGGTTGAAGATGAAATTCGTCTTCTCCAAGAAACCCTTGCCGCGAAAATTCGTCGATGTAATGAAATAAAGAAGACTCTTGGCTATACTTCTCTTTCAACATTACAATATGATCTCATGGAAAGTATTCATAAATTAGAAGACACTAAGACGTAAGTTTTGTTGTACATGTATCCACTTTTGTTCCAAGTTATAAATGTTTTACCAGAATTAGTATCTTTAGACTGTAGTAACTGCTACTCGAGTGCTAGGTAAGGAGGGGAAATCAGTCGACGAGATTGTGAAATTACATCGGCTGAGATGGTTAGGACATGTGTTACGTATGCCTAGTCATCGCTTCCCTCGACGGGAAATGTTAGCTGATATAGGGCCAGACTGGAAAAGAGCTAGCGGTGGTCAAACGAAAACATGGCACCAGTCAATGAAATGTACAACAGTTAGTCTAAGCCACGTAGGAAGGTGTAGACTTCCTCGTTGGGGTCCTCGGGACGGTAAAAACCAATGGTTGGAAACAATAGGTGACCTGGCTCAAAATGGTTATCAATGGCGCAGATGCATCCACTCCTTGTGACTTATGATTTCCAATTAAACTGTTTTGTTCTTCGTTATTACTATACCTTTGTCTCCCACCTCTGTTTACTGTCTGTATCATGCGTTTCTCCTACTTTCTTCTCTTGCTTTGTGTGCTACATGGAGTGTGGCGACTGGAACTGCCGCACATATGTGCAAAGTTCTATGTCGAAAACAGACAGACAGACAGGTTACTGTTACCAAAGAGGTGTAGAAGTGGCATTCATCCTTTCTCCCCTGCTTGTCATAGCCACCTACTATTATAGTGATTATTGTGTATGGTTTAGTACTCTTCTTTAAGCTGAAGAAGTGTGCTTATATTTTAGGAAGTAACACTCACTGTGTTATTCAATTTGAAATGAATTTTTTGTTACATATTTAAACTCTGAGAGTTGTATTCCAATAATCATCATATTGTATGTGTGGAAAGTTTTTACATTCACAGGAAGTAGGTAGAAAAAGAACTCGGTGATCCTCTGTTTAAATAGCATTTCACGAATAGAAAAGTACTCAAATTCATCCTTCAAAAACTGCATCCAAGGAAAGTACCCCATTAGTAAATGTTTTATGTACACTTAGTCTCCCAAAATATCAAGAAAATATTACATTCTCAAATGTTGAATGTGGTGCAATCTACTACATATTGAAAAGAAACTAACTTGAAGCTTTAATCAATAATTGCTTGCTTTCTTATACACTTCAAAATGAATCGCATCTATTTGGCAGGGGTTGTTACATCATCCTAACAGTCCCAGTGTCGTTGAGTGAGCGGGTTCCAACCCACGACTCAACGGTTGAGTGTCCTTCACCTTCAGCAGAGCTGGGAACGTGAAATCATGAGTTGACCACCAAAGCATACGATGAGTTAGATACCTGGTGTTATTTTATTAGATAAAATTTCGCATTATAGTACTTGCTTAATAATTTAAACATTCAGTACCTGAACTAACTCTTGCAGGTGAACCGCTTGAAGTTGTTGATAAGTTTGTGTATCTGGGTAGTTGTGTGACTGCTGGCGGAGGGATGACGGATGAGATTTCTTGCCGTATTATGAAGGCTAGGTTGGCATACATCAACTTGAGCCACCTCTGGTGCCGTCGCGACGTCAGCCTGGCTGTCAAAGGTTGGGTATACATTGCTTCGGTGTGGGCTGTCTTGGTCTGCACCTGTGAAACCTGGCCTCTCCGAGCTGAGGATGTGTGTTGGCTCTGCGTATTCAAACATCTGTGTCTCAGCAGGATTGCTTGCGTTCGATGGCATCATCGCGTGAGTAACTCTGAGGTTCAGCGGCGTGTGTTGAAACACACTGGAAATCACCATTCGTTGAGTATCATCATCTGGAAACACCGGCTTCGGTGGTTTGGATATGTGCTGAGAATGTCATCCCAGAGGCTTCCGTACAGGTCTCTCTTCACTAGTCGTGGGACGGGATCGAAAACTGTCACCAAGACAGTTTATCACCATACTAGCCATGCCGACGATATTTAGCAGACACCTCGCGAAACTGTTTCTTGATGTTTGTCCACTATGAATGAAAAGTACCCCATTTTAAGGATTTATCGGTTGAGCCTATATACGTTTTTCTCGTAAATCGTTTCACTTATCATTGGTTAACCTTGTTGATAGATGTACTAATGGATATGATTCTAATCGACCTTAGCGATTTAGGCATTGAATTTTTGTCATTAAATAGTCTTGTTGCTCTAGAATATGCGGATGTTGTTGCCCTCCTAGGTGAACACGCTGACAAATTAAAGAATTTTCTGAACACTTTGAGCAGAAATCTTGGTATATTTCGTGTGCAATTCGCTCGTGTCAAATGTAATTCGATGCTTCAGGGCTAGACTACACTAACTCTTAGCTTCCAGATAGGGAATGTGAAGTGGTAGGGCCTGTTGACCACCTCACTCATTTGGAAAGTTGCGTCGGTCCTGACAAAGTGATTGCTGACGAATTCTCAGCACAGATGCAAAAGGCTTGGGTGGCATTTTTCATCTCTGGATAAGATGTGATATCTGACTATCCATCAAAGGAAGTGCATTTCTGAGCAGTTTGCTCCGTCCTCCTTTGGGCCTCCGAGACATGGCCGTTGAAATTTGAAGAAATGAAAGTGCTAGTTGCCTTTTTCCACACATGTTTGCATTCATTTTCCCGTGTTAAATGGTATAATATGATAAATAATATCAAGTGTGATGTTGAGTAGGTAGGGTAAGTCAATGGATGAGATTGTGAAACTGCATGGATTGAGATGACTCAGACGTGTGCTGTGTGTCCTGACGGGCGATGTTAGCTGATATATCGTTAAGTTGGAGAATCAGAAGTGATCAAACCTGGAGTAGTCACTCCGCAAAGTCTTTGACAGTTGGTTTGAACCACGTAGACAGATGTTAACCGCCTGATAGGGATCATTGGAATTTTAAGATTCGATGGTTGGAGACTACTATTGGTACGGCTCACGATGATGCTGAATGGTGCAGATGTATTCACTTTTTATGAACTCTCATATCTATTAATTGCTCATATTTCTCCATCCTTCTGTTGTTTTTTTTCCATACATTTCGTTTGAATGTTTAAAAAAAATGTATTTCTCTGGACTTTTGTGTGCTACAGTAAATGTGACAGCTTGAACTGCTGTGTTTATTTATTTGTAAAGTTCTCTGCTGAAACTCGGTCAGTCACCTTGTCTTCTGCTCAGTTAAACAGATTGTATCGCAAACTTTCACATACATAGTATTATATTATTGTTTCCTTTAATTCCTAGAGGAACATAGGGCTTCAGCCGTGCGTCTCCATTGCGTTCGGTTCTCTGCTACAGTCTTCACCATGCTCCAAGTCTGCCCACACATTTTCATCTCTTCACATGACCTCCTCCAAGTCACCATTGCACTGACGATCAACTCACCGCTTCCCTTTTGGGTTCCACTCGAGCGATGGCTTGTCTAGTGATATCACTTGATGGTTTCCTCAGAGTATGGCCAATCCATTTCTTCCTGCCTATTTGTTTCACAATCGGTTCCTGGTTGGTTCGCTCCCAGAGATCTCTGTTGCTGATCTTTTCTGGCCAGCCATCTGATCTTGAGTATTGAGCGAAGACAACTGTTAATGAAGGTCTGTAATTTGTTTGAGATGCTCTTTATGACGCACTGGCTAAGTCTCTGATCCGTATAGTAGCACTGACTTCACGTTGGAGTTGGAAATCGGGATCTTAATTTTGATGCTGAGTGCTGTTGACTTCCACACAGACTTGACAGTAGAAACTTTCACATAATGAAGTGTATCTTTCAACCTGATACCTAAGTGGGAAAAAGAAACTAGACAAAATCCGTTATTATTCATTTCACTAATGATTTTATTTTGGTAACCTAACAATCACCTTCATTGTCTGTATACCTTCTTAAATTATCCGTATTTTCACTACTCTGTTTGTAGATATATTAAAGCTAGTGAACTGTTAAACAAAGCAAAGGATAAAACAGTGAATATAGCCCAAGATACTAAAGAGAAAGTCGGGTCAACTATTGCTGCAATCCGGTAGAATTGGTTTTAGCTTTTGTAACCAGCATTATACTGATTTCTCTTTTTAAATATTTTAGAAATTCAGATGTTGTTAAGTCATTAAACGATAAAGTTGGTTCAGCTTTCTCAACAGTCAAGGTAAATTCTACCTATCCTGTATTTTTTGTTTTTGTTTTTATAAAGATGATAAGCTTGTGGTCTATTAGTCTCTAGACTTTCGCCTTCTAAGCATTGACGCATGTATTTGGACCCCGTTTTTACTCACTGAGGGGTTTGATCAGCTCCAGGCAGTAGGACAGATTTTCACAAGCCCATGATACCTGCAGTCTACTGTCGGTAGATAGAAGTGTGAATCCCTCGATTATCCCTAATCGTCAACAAGTGTTTCAAAATGATATTAAGGACCTACCACATGACTTTTCTTATTCAGGAGAAATCCTTGATTAGTAGTCCAGTGGATGGTTCATTAACATACGAAATTATGGGTGTTTGGTTAAAGTGTGTGTGTGACTTAAGCAGTCGACTCCCAACCAGTACGTCTAGGGTTCGTATCGCGCTCCATCCACTTCAATCTGAACAAATGAGCAGTGACATCAACCTTAAATCAATCCATTACGTGACTAATAGCCTACTACAGATAAGATGCTTTGCAGTTTTACCAGTACCGTTAATTGCTTAAGTACTCGACTTAACTAATCTGTTTTCTTGACAAATGAAATTCAATTGATGAAGACTTGTTTCTGTAGAGATGTGGTTTTCAGTTAATGTGATTCCCTAGTTCGAATTCTGCTCCACTTCAGCTTGTATAACCCACCGGTAAAACCAGCCATCAAACAAGTGTGATGTGGAAAATCTGTTCCAGACAACAGATAATACTAATTCATACTCTGGACAAAATGTTTACACAAAATGCAGAATTCTCAGTGTAATTTATTGCATCATATTTTCTCGGTGTTCAGAATCTTCAAGTGAAGTAGTAATCTTTAGTAGGTTAAGTGACGCTGTGCTATTCGTTCTATAGCATAAACCGATCGCTTGTGATATATCTGTCCAAGAAATGCACAGCAGTAAGTTGAAAGCCAATTAAAAATGCGCTTGAATTCATTTTGCGACTCAAGGACATAACTGAGTGATTAAAACAATAAGAAATTGAGAAAATTGGTTGGATTTTATTACCCAGTGATTCAAGCAGGCAACGAGATGTGAAAGATATAAAAACTATAATTTTGTATATATATCTCAGAGAATTCATTGTGATAAAAATTTTTTGTATTTCCCAATGAATGAAAAAGACAAAACGATAATGATGTTTTTACTGACGTTTCGCTATTTCAAATGCTGCTAACAGCTTTATCATAGTAGTAACATTAAACCGGAATTTACAAAATCCACTCAGCTTATATATAACAACTAAATCATTGTTCATCAGCAGGGGGTCATTTTTGCGTTGTCAAATTGGCCACTAGGTAAGCCTAGCGAAACCAGATGTAGATTGTTGGATTTGATAAATGTATGCAATTATAAAAGCAGCGTGTGTTTACATAATGGAATTTCTTATCACGTCCGTGTTGATTTTGTCATTTCATGAGGGATGGGGGTTCTGTAACTGGTTCTTATTCTGTTTTGGTCCATCATTCCTAGTCAAACAATTTGGATTCCACTTGATGTGAAGTGCTTCTGATACTAGACGTTTCTTGAGATTTCTGAAATTTTTCTGGGTGATGATTTCAATATTGTCTAAATCAATTTTATGACCCGATTCTATAGCGTGTAGACCTATGGTTGATGATTCTTCACGCTTTTCTAGTTCAACTGGATTTCTCGGTGGTCAAACAGATGCTCTACGGTGTTCATTTCTTCTGATTTTGATTTCTCGAGATGTTTGTCTGATGTATATCACATCACATTCCAAGCATTTTCTTTTATAGACACAATTAGAATCTTAAGGGATTTGGTCTTTCATATGGAAAAGGTTTTTTTGTAGTGTGCATGTCTGATATTTTGAAGAAAACTCTGATATCGTGCTCATTGAGTACTCTTATAATATCGTCTAACAGCTCTGCTCTATATGTAATGACAACTGTTGCAGCTCATGTCTTCGAAATACGTTTTCAACCACATTTAATGTCAGTGTTGATAAAGTTCTTTAGGTAGTTGTTTTGCTCGAGAGTTTCAGTGATGTTTAATATTTCTCTTTCTTTCTCATCGGTTATCAGAGTGTGCTTGTATAAGAAGACTTGAAACAGCTGATACATTTGCGCTGATGGGGTGTGATGATCCGAAGTCTAAATATTTATTGGAGTGGGTTTTCTTCCTCAATATGTCCGTTTTCCCTCCTCTTAACTAGGTAGGCAGCCTAGAAATGGTAGTTCACCGACGTCTGATTCTGCTTCCGGAGCAAACTGGATTCTATGAAATAGATTGTTCAGTTTCTTCAGGAATGAACCGCGTAGATCTCGTTTTGGCTTTACAAACGTATCATCTACATATCTTAACCATATTTAAGGAGTGTGTATGCCTGAAAAGATGTTATCCTCGAATCTATTCACAAAACGATCAGTGACTATTGGGGAAACTGGAGAACTCATAGCAACACCATTTCTCTGTCTATATAAACTCCCTTTGAATGTAAAATAATTACTTTTTAGAAAGAATTTTAAGGTCTTAATAATTTCACTAGTGTCAAGTGGACACCTTTGTGATAGCATTGTATATGATTCTAGTAGAATGGAAACGATATCAAAACTTCAAATGATAGGAATACAAGTATATTAGAACAAAGCATATAAGCGAACAATATTGTTTTCAATTAGATCTTCTTCAGGCTTTATTCTAATTTACATAGATTTATAAATAAAACGGTTTTGACCAGTGACGGGGATTTTGTGAATCAAATAATAATAATAATAATGTGGTAAATGTTTGCAACGTGGTTAATAACGATGATTATAATGATAACAAAATATTGATAATAAGGTTTATGCAGGTGGCGATAAGAATAACAAAGGTAGTAATATGTGTATATGTAGACAATTCAATAAATAAATTAGGTCAAATCTTAAAAGTTACGTAATACTAAAGGTGAAGTGGACAGATACACTTCACCTTTAGTATTACGCAAACATTTACCACATTATTATTATTATTATTTGATTCACAAAATCCCCGTCACTGGTCAAAACCGTTTTATTTATAAATCTATGTAAATTAGAATAAAGCCTGAAGAAGATCTAACTGAAAACAATATTGTTCGCTTATATATGTCTTGTTCCAACATTAAAAATGGGAATATGCAAAGATGCTTGTATATCATGAGTTAATAGCATAGCTTTCCATAATATCTGTCTTCTCTAGCAATTTTTCGGTGTTCTATTTGGGATTTGAAATTATTTGAATCTTTTACAATATTTTGAGTGTCTTTTTGTAGTGTTTGTAGTATTGAAAATAAGTATTTGGAAAAGTTTTATGTCAGTGAATTGATAAAATCTGTTACTGGTCTTAATGCTGTCGGTCGGTCGGTTTTCGACATAGAACTTTGCACACATGTACGGCAGTTCAAGTGGCTACACTCCATCTAGCACACAAAGCAAGAGAAGAAAGTAGGAGAAATGCATAATATAGACAGTAAACAGAGGTGTAAGACAAAGGAATAGTAATAACGAAGAACAAAACAGTTTCATTGGAAATCATGAGTCACAAGGAGTGGATGCATCTGCGCCACTGAGAACGATTTTGAGCCATGTCACCAATTGTTTCCAACCATTGGTTTTTACCGTCCCGAGGACCCCAACCAGGAAGCCAGTTTACACCTTCCTACGTGGCTGGCTTGGACTAACAATTGTGGATTTCATTGACTGGTGCCATGTTTTCGTTTGACCGCCACTAGCTCTTTTCCAGCCTGACCCTATATCAGCTAACATTGCCCGTTGAGGAAGGCGATGACTAGGCATTCGTGACATGTCCTAACCATCTCAGTCGATGTAATTCCACAGTCTCGTCTATTGATTTCCCCTCCTAACCTAGCACTCGACCGAAGCCTAACCTCAATATTGCTCACCTTATCATAGCAATATTGCACCATAGACTTAGTAAAATAACTGTTATGCGTCTTCTTTCCGACTGATAAATTGAGGATAATCTATTATTTCAACCTTTAATCAAATTTACTTATATATATATATATATATATATATATATATCCACTTATCCAAAGTTTAACATTTAAACTCACATACACATATATGTGTAATATATTACTTCTAGATAATTTGTTTGGATAAGTTAACCTATCATCCAGCAGTTGCATGGATTCCATCTAAAAATACGATTCGTGTGCGTCGGCTGTATTAATGAATTTACTAACTGAGTTTCTGTCTATTCATTATTGACGTGTATAGTCATATAATATATATATTTCTATGTGTGTAGTATGTCTTTATGCACAGGATATTTGTTGTTATAAATCGTATAACGAGCGCATGTTCTATTAATGAGTTTTCATAACGATACCTTTTTTGATGCATTTAAATTTCATGTATCTGTTTCAAGTTTGATCATTGGTTGATATTTGTTAGAGAACTGTTAAAAACCAGGTATATAGGGCTCTTTTGTTTAGGATGATGGTTCCATGACCACCACCCAATCAGGGATGGAACCCCAGAGCCTTTTGGTTAGGAGATGAGCTCTTTGACTATTCAGTCACTGGGGGATATCCAATCCAATCCAATAACCCATCACTTCTAACTTCTCTCAATTTTTGTGATATCCGTTGTAGATATATTTTGACGTTTTATAAACGCGAATATGAGTTGTTGTTTTTTTTCCCAGTGGAACATAGGGCTTCAAACTAGTGGCTTGAAGTTTCTGTAGCAGTGTTTATTTTACAGGATGGCGTTGCTAACCTCATGCCCAACCTTTCCTCTTCACCAGCATTATTTCTGGCTTAGCGAGGTAAAGGAGTGCGTCTGTGGCCGGGGATCGAACCCCTGACCATGTGCATGATCGGCGAGCGTCCTAACCACTATGCCACCGACGCACAAACATTATCAGGGTGAGGCGCATGCAAATAACACACAGCCTTCTTCAAAACTTGCACACAACCAATAGGTCGCGTACCATCCCATCGCCCTTGGCAGATCTAGCAGATCAGTCGATGTCCAGAGATGACAAGGTGTTCGAGGATCGAGCCGTTGCTATTCTTCTTTTCTCCTCTGGATAACCAAGCTGGGCAGTGTTCCAGAAAACGTTTGTGGACTTGACGTTGCGTACGGCCGATATACATTGCTCCACACGAGCAAGTAATGCTAAGGACAAGATACCGCTTTTGGCCACTTCAGTGTGTATTTATCAATTTACCAGTATCTGATTGGTCTAAAGATTTCTTTGTTAATTATAATTACGATTGTACAGCTCATGAAAATGAATCGTCGAAAAGAAAATTTTCTTCTCTGTTTGTGCCTTTTTCTTATATCTCCATGTATTATTGTTTCTTTACGTTTCTTTTCTACCCGGTCACTTATATGTGCTTGTATAATGTGTAACAACGTAACAACGTTGACCTTTTGGGCAGAGTTATACACTGAAAACTCATTCAACAGTTGAATACATAAACATTGAGAGTAGAATTATTATTATTATTATTTGTACTCAGTGTTGTCAATCTATGTATTTTATTGTATTACAATTAAATTGGTGTGTGTAAGTGTTTATGTATCTATAATCGATATTTGTCTATTAAATGTTTATTATATTGTCGTGACTTTATACATAATGTATATCCTTTGTTGTCGTTGTTGCTTTGGCTTGCTTTATTCTATCTAATGAGTGTGTAGTTTTTTTTTAATTTTACAGGCTGCTATAATTTATTCAACCTATGGTCATTTCCCGGATGATGATGATGACAATTAGTCGGTGTACATAATGATAAGAAGAGTCCGTTTACCGAATAGAACAACATCAACAACAACTACTGCTACTACTATACAGTTAACGATACAGTGTTGTGTTGTCTGTCCACAGACTTAGAAATAGACACATGCAAACACACACTGAGTTCATTTGATAACTACCCGGTTGTTTTACTTCATTGGTTCTGGTTCTGACTATTACTTTTTTCTTTGGTATTCTTATTACAAATATATGTATGTTTATGTATATATGCTTTATTGATATAAATATGAAACTTGGGCACTGTGTTGCGGTCGGTCGTTTCTCGACATAGAACTTTGCACATATGTGCGGCAGTTCAAGTCGCCACAATCCATGTAGCACACAAAGCAAGAGAAGAAAGTAGAAGAAATGCATAATATAGACAGTAAACAGAGGTGTGAGACAAAGGAATAGTAATAACGGAGAACAAAACAGTTTCATTGGAAATCATAAGTCACAAGGAGTGGATGCATCTGCACCAGCCATTGAGAACGATTTTGAGCCATGTCACCAATTGTTTCCAACCATTGGTTTTTACCATCCCGAGGACCCCAACCAGGAAGTCTACATCTTCCTACGTGGCTTAGACTAACTGTTGTAGATTTCATTGACTGGTGCCATGTTTTGGTTTGACCACCGCTAGCTCTTTTCCAGCCTCACCCTATGTCAGTCAGCTAACATTGCCCATTGTCGAGGAAGGCGATGACTAGGCATACGTAGCACATGTCCTAACCATCTCAGTCGAAGTAATTTCACCGTTTCGTCGATTGATTTCCCCGCCTTACCTAGCACTCGACGCCTAACCTCAATATTGCTCACCTTATTATACCACTTCACGCGGGAGATAGAACACGGATACCTATGATCGAAGACAGCTAATCTTTTCATGTCTTCTGCTCTCAATGGCCAGATCTCACAGCCATAAAGGAGGACGGAGCGGACTGTTGAGCAGTACACACGCCCTTTGGTCGATAGTCGGATATCGCGTCTACGCCAGAGACGGCGAAAACTGGCGTATGTGTCAATCTGAGAAGAATGTCGGTGGCACATACGGAATTCCGTGCCAGCGAACCGACAACGGTGACCGTCTCCTACAGTTCTGTTCAGATAATCATTTGTATCTTGTAAGTACTAACTTCAAACACAAGGAGAGACACTGTTTGACCTGGCGACCCCCATCATCAAATCAACTGTGTTGCAGAGTATAACTCCATTATAACAACACTTAGCTCTAATACACTATGTGCGATTAGAAATCATTCAAACTCTAGGCTAATGAATGCGTATGAAATGAAAAGGAAACTAAATAATATTCAGTTAGAGAATAATGAAAAAAGAAAATGGTTAGTTCTGATATGTATAACTAGTCTTTATACTAATATACCAATCAATATGGCCTTATGAAAGCGGTTAAAACAGAACTAACTAACTTCTGATCCCGAACTTAGTCAAAGGACAAAGCTGCCCATTGAGAAAATTATTTTCTTGGGAATTCAGTTATGCCTCACATCTACTGTCTTTAAATTCCAGGGCAAATATATATAAACAAACAGATGGTGTAACAGTGGGATGGACCACCAATATCCCCTATCGTAGGAGATATCCTTATGGACAGCTGGGAGAATATTGCTCTAAATCCATTTAATTCTACTCCAAAAATATGGTGGAGATATGTGGATGACACTTTCACAGTGTTAAAAACAGAATATATCTCTAGCTTCTTGACTCATATAAACTCACCAGTGAAAAGAAATATATATATATATATCGATTTGATCACTTGAAAATATACCTTCGATTCCGTGTCTTGCTTTCTATTGCTACATGCTTACAGCCTTTGAAACCAAGGGAAGACAAAGGAGGATAAATAAAGAAAAATATCAGGGAATATACACATCGTGTCATAGGAGTTATTAAAAAGACAATTGCAGCGAAGAAAATTTTCTTTTCGACGAAGTCATCATCTAGGCTGTAAATTCGTGCATTTATATCAAATGGATGGGAAAGTTCCAGAATAATTTCTGGTTAGGGGTTAAATTAATAAAAATTACAATTGGGAATTAGAATGCCATAATAAACAGGGGGACGGATAAAACTCGAACAAAGTAGCAGTATAATAACTAAGAAGATTGACATTGTGCAATTGGGGGTTATTATTATTATTATTTCCTTTAGTTCCTAGAGGAACATAGGGCTTCAGCCATGCGTCTCCATTGCGTTCGATTCTCTGCTAGAGTTTTCACCTGGCTCCAGGTCTACCCACATGCTTTCATCTCCTCTTCACATGATCTCCTCCAGGTCACCCTTGGACGACCAACTCGCCGCTTCCCTTTCGGGTTCCACTCGAGGGCTTGTCTAGTGATGTCACTTGCTGGTTTCCTCAGAGTGTGGCCAATCCATCTCCATTTTTTCCTGCCTATTTGTTTCACAATGGGTTCCTGGTTGGTTCGCTCCCAGAGATCTTTGTTGCTGATCCTTTCCGGCCATCTGATCTTGAGTATTGAGCGAAGACATCTGTTAATGAAGGTCTGTAGCTTGTTTGAGGTGCTCTTTGTGACACGCCAAGTCTCTGATCCGTATAGTAGTACTGACTTCACATTGGAGTTGAAAATCCCGATCTTATTTTTGACGCTGAATGATGTTGTCCTCCACACAGACTTCAGAGTAATGAAAGCTTGCCTTGCTTTCCCGATCCTTGCTTTGATATCCTCGTCAGTTCCGCCTGTAGTTGAAACAATGCTTCCCAAGTAGGTAAAGGAGGTAGTTTCTTTCAGGTTTTTTCCATTTATGCTGATTGCTGTCTGTTGTTGTTGTTGGTGTTGGCCAGGGATCTTCATCACCTCTGTTTTATCTATGTTCACCTGGAGTCCTATCTTTGATGCTTCTTCTGCCAACTTGTTACTTTTCACTTGCATATCTTCCAGTTTGTGGGAAATCATGCATATATCATCGGCGAAGTCCAGATCCTCCAAGTTCTTTGTGTGAGTCCATTTTATGCCTGTTTCCTCATTGCCCGCTGTTTGTCGCATTATCCAGTCTACTGCAATCAGGAAAATCATTGGCGATAGTAGGCAACCCTGTCTTACTCCTGTCTTCACTTCGAAGGATTCCGTGAGCTTCCCGTTGTGGATTACTTGGCATGCAGCGTTGTCATACAACTGTTGGATGAGATGTATAATTGTCGGCGGCACCCCGTAGTAGCGAAGTAGTTGCCAAATCACCTCTCGATCGACGCTGTCGAAGGCCTTTTCAAAGTCGATGAAGTTGAGATAGAGAGGTGACTGCCATTCCAAACTTTGTTCAATGATGATCCGTAGTGTGGCGATTTGATCAATACATGACTTGTTTCTCCTGAATCCAGCTTGTTCTGGTCGAAGTTTTTCATCCAAGGCTTGTTTGATCCTTTCCAGGATGATGCGGCTTAGTATTTTGCTTGGGATGGAAAGGAGCATAATTCCGCGCCAGTTCTTGCATTGACTTAAGTCTCCTTTCTTTGGTAGTTTGAATAGGTATCCTTTCTTCCAATCCTCGGGTACTTTGCCTTCTTTCCACACTTTCTCAAGTAGTGGCGTCATCAGGTCTGCTGTTGTCTCTGGGTCGACTTTCAATGCTTCTGCTGGGATTCCATCTGGTCCTGCTGCTTTCCCAGCTTTCAGCATCTTGATTGCCTTCAGGACTTCTGATTTCGTCGGGGAGTTGATGTTCACTGGTAATTCTGCTTCCGTTGTTGGTATTGTTGGGCGCGTTGTAGGTGGCGGTCGGTTTAGTAGTCTTTTGAAGTGTTCAGCCCAGTGTTTCCTTTGCTCCACTTCTTTGGTGATTGACTTTCCATTTTCATCCTTCACTGGCTTAATTTGTGACGAATTTTTGCCTGAAAGGTACCTAGTTGTTTGGTGAAGTGTTGCGAGGTCTCCTTTGCCTGCAGCTTGTTCTGCTTCATTGGCCATGGCTTCATAATACTTTCTTTTGTCTTCTCTGGCACTCTTCTTTACTCCTTTGTTCAGTGTATTGTAGCTTACATTCAACTCCTGTTTCTGTTGCTCGTCGGTGGACTGCAGAATTTTTTGTTTCACCATCCTTCTCTCCTCTATTAGCCTCCAAGTGTCCGTAGTGAGCCACGGTTTGTCCTGTCTCTTCTTTCTGCCCAGAACTTCCATGCAGGTTTCGCTCCATACTGTTTTCAGGTTGTTCCAGTGTTTTTCGACGCTGACCTCTTCACCAGTGTTGATTTGTGTCTGGGCTTTGTCCTTTATACTTGCAGTAAAGATATCCTTTGTATCCTGGTCCTTTAGTTTTTGAGTGTTGAACTTGGCTTGTGGTCTATCTGCAGCTCCTGTTTCTCTGAAAGCCTTTAATTTGAGTTGGATTGTTCCTTGTACGAGGTAGTGGTCTGAGCCAACGTCTGCTCCTCTTCTTGCTTTTGTGTCCAGTAGGCTGCGCCGCCACTTCCTCGAGATTGTGATGAAGTCAATTTGGTTTTTGGTTCGCCCATCTGGTGACACCCATGTAGCCTTGTGAATATCCTTGTGTTTGTATACGCTGCCACCAATCACTAGTTCATTGAAGGCGCAGAAGTCGGCGAAGAGTTCTCCACTTTCATTCATCTCTCCCAGAGCTTCTTTACCCATGATGAGTTCCCTTCCTGTGTTGTCTGGTCCCAGTTTGGCGTTCATGTCTCCCATTAGTATTTTGATGTCACCGGCTGGAGTATTGTCTATTGCTGCCTGCAGTTGTCTGTAGAATTCTTCTTTCTTTTCGAGGTCTGCGTTGTTGGTCGGTGCATAGCATTGTATAATTGACACTTTCCTTCCTTTGGAGTTGAATCTGGCGGTTATTATCCTGGGTGAGATCGCCTCCCATTGTATCAGAGCCTTGGTTGCCGTTGGTGACATCATTATAGCCACGCCCTCGGTGTGTGTGTGGTTGTCTTCTGGGTGACCGGAGTAAATCACTGACTCACCTGTTGACAATTTGGTGAGTCCATATCCGTTCCATCTGCTTTCGCAGATCCCCAATACTTGTAGTCCGTATCTCCTCATTTCGCTTGCGATCTGGGCAGCTTTGCTAGTCTCGTACATGGTGCGGACATTCCATGTCCCCACACAGACTTTTTCTTTTGACGCAAGGAGACTGTTCACGCTGAAGTTTCTGTAGCAGGTTTGTTTATAGGGTGGGGTTGCTGGCCTCACGCCTGAAATTGGGGGTTAGAAATGTAAAAATAACAA